CTGCTGCTGGGGACCCTTTTTGGATTTGGGCAGCTGTGTGTTTGAGACTCTCTCTCTCTCCCTCCCGACCATCCTCCTCCTCTGCAGAGGAGACCCAGTAGGGCGAGCCCTCTTCCCCCCCAAACACCTAGCCTCTGCGCCCCTCCCGTGATTTCCTCGCCTGGCGAGTCGGGGGGAAAAGCCCCATCCATGATGCAGGCTCGCTACTCCGTCTCCGACCCCAACACCTTGGGAGTCGTGCCTTACTTGAGCGAGCAGAACTACTACCGGACCGCGGGGACTTACAGCAACATGGCCAGCCCCATGGGCGTCTATTCCGGCCACCCGGAGCAGTACGCCGGCGGCATGGGCCGCTCCTACGGGCCTTACCACCACCACCAGCCGGCGGCTCCCAAGGACTTGGTGAAACCTCCCTACAGCTACATCGCCCTCATCACCATGGCCATCCAGAACGCGCCGGACAAGAAGATCACCCTGAATGGAATTTACCAGTTCATCATGGACCGGTTCCCCTTTTACCGGGAGAACAAGCAAGGCTGGCAGAACAGCATCCGCCACAACCTCTCGCTCAACGAGTGCTTCGTCAAGGTGCCCCGCGACGACAAGAAGCCGGGCAAAGGCAGCTACTGGACCCTCGATCCGGATTCCTACAACATGTTCGAAAACGGGAGCTTCCTGCGCCGCCGGCGCCGCTTCAAGAAGAAAGACGTGCCCAAGGAGAAGGAGGAGAGGCCGGCCAAGGAGCAGCCCAAAGCGCCCTCGGACCCCCCGAAGGAGGGCTCGGCGGAGAAGAAGGTGGTGATCAAGAGCGAGGCCGCTTCGCCCGACCTGCCGGTCATCACCAAGGTGGAGACGCTGAGCCCGGGCAGCCCCCGCAGCGTGGCTTCCACCCCGTCGGCCTCCACCGAGAGCTCCCTGCCCGAGCCCCACCCGTCGGGCAACGGGCTGTCGGGCTTCAGCGTGGAGAACATCATGACCCTGCGGACTTCTCCCCCCGGGGAGCTGAGCCCCGGCAGGACAGGGGCCGGGCTGGGGGCCTCGCTGCCGCTGGGCTACCCCCAGGCGCAGCCGTCGGTCTACAGCCAAGCGTGCAGCCAGAGCATGGACGCGAGCGGGAGCTACCACTGCAGCATGCGGGCCATGAGCCTCTACACCGGGGAAAGGCCGGGCCACATGTGCGTCCCCACCACGCTGGAGGAAGCCATCTCGGAGCATCCCAACAGCACCGCCTCGCCCCTGGCCACCATGAACCTGGCCTCGGGCCAGGAGAGCGCGCTGACCCCCAGCCACCCGCATGCCAGCGGCGGTCCCGGGCAGCCGGCAGCCTCCTGGTACCTCAACCACAGCCCCGAGCTGAACCATCTCCCCGGGCACGCGTTCGGCTCCCAGCAGCAGACTTTTCCCACCGTCAGGGACATGTTCAACTCCCACCGGCTGGGGATTGAGAGCTCGGCCCTCAACGAGCACCAGGTGAGCGGCAACACAAGCTGTCAGATCCCCTATAGATCCACCCCCTCCATATACCGCCACGCCACCCCCTATCCCTATGACTGCAGTAAGTATTGATTAGCATCCCGGGCAGGACAATTCCACCCACACTTAAGACGGCATAAGGAAATCCTTCTAAGCGGACCTGGGAACTAAAGAGTTTATAGACCCTTAATCCTCTCCCCGTCCTCTTTAAATTCCAGACAAGTACATTCTACTTGAAAGGGGATATCTTTAAAATATATATATAGCTATCTAAACCAAAGTGGCAAATTTATATGCTAAAGTATAGGAGGCCTCCGGAAAAAATAAGTTATGGACCAATATCACAGCGATCATTATACGTTTTAAAAGAAAAGTATATATATTAAATATATGAATATATGTCCTGGGTATTTTAAGTTCTCTTATTGTGCTGTAAAATGTGTGGATTTCTAATCAGACTAATTTTTCAGAGCCATTAATATAATATTTAAAGTTGAGTTCACTGGATTTTTTTTATGTTGCCCAAAAATTCCTAACAGCCAAATTAATTACAAGTGAGTTCTTTTCCCTTTTTTTTGTACAATTATGCAATAGAATTTCTTTCTATTTAGAGCTGTTCTTTTTTACAAGAGGGGGAAATAATTTATTTTTGTTGGTGGGTTTTTGGAAAGAAGACAAAGTATCTGATACTTTTTTTAAAATGTACGACAGTGTGATGTTTTGTATAATAGTCTCCACCCTGACCATTCCTGAGAACTATTTGTTTTATTCTACTTCACGCTTGTTTGTCTTGGTCTTAATTGTTGTACTTACCTTAAAATAAATCCATGTTGTTTTCTTCTGCTCAAAGTCTGGCGCATGTGTGTGTGTGTGTGTGTGTGTGTGTTTGCAATTTTTCCAGATTTTTTTTTCAGGCAGAAAACGTGGAAAACATTGATGTTCAAACAAAGTAGATTTCCTTGAGACTAAAAGTTTATTACTCGTTTTATTATTATTTATTTAAAAAAGGCCCAATTCACATGACGATGGAAGCAGACAAAATAGCATAGTTGGAAATGAAAACATCTAAGCATTCCTGGGTTAGTTTAGTTAGTGCTTTCCAGAGTTTGAAGATTTGCAGAACACTTTGCCAATCCAAGACAATTTGCCAGTTTTAAACTGGAGTAAGATTCTTCAATCCTCCAATCATGTGAATGAAAGAATCGTAATCAGGATAGGTTCTGATTAATCACTCTTATTTTAATCTGGTTCTTGACAGTTTTATTTACCTACTGAGATGTAGGCCTTATAAAGTGCCTTGAATGTAACCAGTTACCTCTTGGTTACAGGCAGTTGCCACAATAAAACAAACAAAATACAGTTCATAGGGAGAATGAATTAATAACATCCTGGGAGGATAAAAAAGGAATATCATTTGATCTGGATTTCATTATGAAGTACTAAGAACTCTCCCAGGGAATTCATAGTAGGATGGTTTTACTGTCTGAATGCATTCTTTTTTATTTGTTTCCTCATCTGACTTAATCTTCTGCTTCCGATACCCAGTTTGAGCTCTCATTATAAATATCTGGGGCTGACAGCAGATATGTTTAAACAACCCAAACCCCTACCAACCTTCTCTTCCTTCAAAACTCTTCTAAGTAACTTTAACGTGCTCCAGAAACCGGGTGGCTAATTGTCTCTTAGTCCTACTAAACATACCACCACGTTTGCTTGAAAACGGCTCTTAAAGCCATTTTTATCTAAAGACTGTTTTATTCTTTATCAACGTGCTAGACAGTTTGTCTATCAAGTTAATTGTGATGGTATGCACATAATTCCCTAATGAATGTATGAGCTAGTTGCAAAGATTGTGGATAAATATCGATGTTGTAAGGTATCTCAGAATATAAATGCAACGTAATAAATACTGCTAATGAGGCAAATTCCAGATCCCCCATAAAAACCAAACCACTAAACATCCATTAGGACGAAAAAGTGAATAGATGGGTGGAGAAGAGCCAGTTCTTTGTAGACATAATACACGAATAGATTTTGATCTGTCAAATATCACATGCTGTAGCATTATGGCAAAGTGCACTGAAGCTCTTGGTTTAAATGAAACATTTTGTGCTGTGTTTAAGCCACCTTCCTACAAAACCCGAACTACTTTGGCCAGATTCTCGAGTTTTTAGCTCTTAATGAAAAAGCAAAGAGAGAAGGAAAAATATCAGAGCAAACGCACCCCCCATCCTCTCCCCTTAAACTGGGAAGATGTTTTTCGCTTGATAGATGCTTTCCCACCTCACAATGAAACAACAGCTTGCTAGCATTGCTCTGTCTATAATCAGCAGTGAACTGAAAACCAGGTGTTTGAGGTTGGATGTTCAAGGGGGTGTTGCTTCTCTTGTGATGGGGGAGAGGCTGGGCTGTGTGTGTGAGAATGCCCCGCAATTGTGGGTGGTTGAGAGACGACTAGGAAGAGAGGACGATCCATGAGCATTGGCATGCAATCTGCCACTTCTCCGCCTTAGCGGGTCCCTTGCTTGAGACAGTTGCCAGTGTCATATTCTCTCTACAAAACAGGGCCTTTGGGTGGAGAATGAGGTTGCAAGCACAGGTGGTTTTCTGCTGCCCTTAACGGTCCAGGGAATTCGGCCTGGAGGCTTTTCCTTGTTTGTGTAAAGAGCACGCCAGGCTGGGCCACTGATGGGAGGCTAGCCCCGTGCCACCCAGGGCTGGCTCATTGCAGACGCCTAAGTGCTGATTACCTTATTGCAGTCGCGTCTTACCAATGGCTGCTGGGGTAAAGGACTTGCTGACCTCCCGAGGCGTGTGCTTTTCCCTGCAAGGCAAGATACTGGCTGCCACTAGTCGTGCTTCCTCTCTCCCCCCCCGCCC